TGAGCGTTGTGATCACTGACTCATTTAGTCTTCACAGTTACTCTGCGAGGTAGAAACTTCGTACAGACCAAAGAAGCGGCACAGTCTGAATTGGAAGCCAGGTCTTTGAATCCAGACCCTGGGTCCTTAACCACTTTAGCAACATTTCCTGACCTTCCATCAGCTGTATAACACCCTCTGTTTGTTTGTTTTTTAAGTACATATATTTATTGATTTCAGAGAGGAAGGGAGAGGGAGAGAGAAACATCAATGATGAGAGAATCATTAATCAGCTGCCTCCTGCTGGGGATTGAGCCTGCAACCCAGGCCCATGCCCTTGATCAGAATCGAACCCAGGACCTTCAGTCTGTAGGCGGACACTCTATCCACTGAACCAAACTGGCTGGGCACACCCTTTGGTTTTTCCGTGTCCTCTGTGGCACCTGTGTTGGTAAGTCTATCTCTTCTTGAACAATAATATCCATGAAATGATATGTGGGATATACTGACCAACAGGAAGTGGTTCTAGACTAGAGTGAGGCTAGAGAAGTAGGCAGGGTCTTGATCAGGGAGGTCTGGACTTTATTGGCAAGGTATGGAAATGTTTTAAATGGAAACATACAACTGTTGCTTCAAGGGTAGGGCAGAGTAGGTGCTAGCTAAGGAGTCCGGCGGGTGGTGGTTCTTAACAGAGGGATCCTGTTTTCAAGGATTGTCAGAGTCCCTTTTTCCTTCACCCACGTGCTGCTGAAACAGTCCCCCTCAACAGGTTTGCATGGTAAAGTTTCCCCAAGAGATGCAGATTATATTCTGCCCCCTTGGAATTTCGAGTCTAAAACAGTTATCTCAAAGTAAAGTTTACAGTCGTCCACTGTCCTGATTCATACCACATTGTCAGTCCTTGTTCGTCATCTCCCAAGAATGGATTGTGAAATGCAGCAAAGTTTTCTGACTTATGAGGATAAGTGTGAGCTCTGGCTTTGCAACCCCAGACTCTTGCCAGAGTAGGTAAATAGCACAGAATTGACAAGGGTAAGTTTTTTCAAAAACAGTAACCAAAGCAGTTTAAGCACACACTAAGAAGTAATTGATGTGTAAAACTTTCCAGTATTACAAAAGAGTAATTCTACCCTTACATTAATTTCTCCCTTACCTGTTCAGCCAGTAGTTTAAATGTGAGTGGTCATACTGATCACGTCAGGAGCTTTAATTGCAGATTCCTAGGCTCTTCCTGGAGATTCTGATTTGCAAAATTTGTAGTGAAAGCTTGGGGTCAGTCTTTTTTTACAAGCATCTTTAGGTGATTCAGATGTAGGGAACCCTGCATTTCACTAATCAGAGTATTCCTATTCTTATTCCTTGTTTAACTATCTTCCCTACATGGAAAGTTCTCTGATTTGGGGGACTTTGTTTTGGTCACCATTGTACCCACAGTGCCTGGCGCAGAAATGCCCAATAGGTTAATTTGCACTGGATAATCATGGTTCTATTCATTTAAGCAAATATTTGTTGGGCTATGTACTTGGAATTAGATCCTGGGAACACAGACTATAAAATGAGTTTGTATTCAGGTAGAGAGCAGTAATTGGATGCTTCTCAAAGAATTCCCTGTCCTAAATTACTTTGATACCTTTGAGTCTGATGACCATCACAGGAAACTAACTTTTTAGTCTATCCTGTTACCTGTACATTATTTAACTTGTTACCCATGTACTTGTTACGAAGGTCACGCTCCTATGTGTTATGTTTGCAGCAAATCCAGAGCAACTTCATTGTTGTCATACATCCGGGTTCAACAACTTTAAGGATTGGTCGAGCCACAGACACACTTCCTATCAGCATTCCTCATGTCATTGCACGAAGACACAAGCAACAAGGGCAGCCACTGTACAAAGACAACTGGCTCCTAAGGGAAGGACTAAATGTAAGTTAGAAATGGAGGACTTGGAGAGAAAGCCCAAGGTTGCTTCCTTGGGAAGCCTTAGACATTCAAGTATATGCAGTAATCTTGAATAAATATTTTCATAGCTTTATGTTTTTAAAGAATAGCATCATTCAGGGTTACCAATATCATTTTTCATCTGAGCTAGCAATTTTAAATTGTAAAGAAGTAAATATAATTCAATTTTTTTAACCCATTGGGATGAATTGGATATTGAGGAGACTGATTTTTAATGGAAGATACAGACTTATCACTTACTTAAAATGATGCATTCAGATATTTTTTCTTCCAGATATTTAGAGGAGTTTAAATTCATGTTTCAATTCATAAGCAAATTGAATTGCTACACAAATCACTTACTACAATCTTAGGTCAAATCATAATTTAAAGGCAAAAACTATTCCCTTATAGTAAACATTTACTTTATTCTATTTTACAAATGGTAATTATCAGAAAAAGTTTGTGATAGGTGTTAAATGTGTATATTACACTGTAATCCACTTTTAAGTTTTAAATCAAGGGTAGTTTTAGGAACTTGCGGTTTCTATAATTTTGATAATAAGCTTTAGGGTTCCATTTTTTTTAAACTTTTTATTGATTAAGATATTACAAATGTGTCTTTATACCCCCCAGGGTTCCATTTTTTAGCATAACTAGCAGACCCTACTAAAGTCCATATAACTTAATGATATAAGAATCTAAAAATCACTTATATCATTGAGTGATTCGACTTTAGAGAAAAAAAATTGAAAGAAAATATTTTCTACCAAAAAGGTGTGAATATATTCTTTACAGTATCACTGTAATTTGAACACTTGTTGATTAAGCAAAATAACACATGAAGAAGTATAACATTGTTACAAATTCTAAACATGAAAATGATATAATTATATGAGTCTGAAATACTTTGTAAATGTAAAAATAGCTATGCTCTCATTAGTATTATGAAATTTTTTTATCAACCCAAAGTTACTCGAAGTTACAGATTTTTGCAAATAGTTGGTTTATAGTGAGGGTTCTTTTATGACATTTTTTATTTATAAAAAATATAAAGATTACTTTAAATTCCGAAGATTAATACATATGACAGATTAGGGAAGCTACTTGTTGATGAGGGAGCATTTCCCATTGTTGCATTAAATTAGTAGTTTGCTAGTTTGCCTTCCCTTTTCACTAAATCCTTTGTACCACTCATCTTTCCTTCTTTTTTCCCCCAGAAACCTGAAAGTAATGAACAAAGACAAAATGGTCTTAAAATGGTGGATCAAGCAATATGGTCTAAAAAGATGTCAAATGGTACAAGGCGGATTCCTGTGTCCCCTGAACAGGTTCAGTTTCAACTCTTCAGATTTATTCTTTTAGCACAGCTATTATAGCATAATGACGTTCATGTGCTCTACCTATTTCATTATGCAAGTGCAATAAGGGATTTCCTTTAAAAAGGAGAAAAACCATTCCTAATCACCTATGGAATACCTGAATCAGTGTCACAAATGCTTAGGCCAGCCAAATGATTTATAAGGTGGTATTTCCTGTCACAAGTTGATAAAATTTACAGTTTACCTGAGAGTCTTAAGTGTGTAATTCCAAGACCTTGGTGGGAAGCTGTATTCTTACCGTAATAGTTATTTTAGTGCAGTAAACCAATACAATTAGGAATGGCTATGAGTCAGTATGATATGTAAATTTGTATTCAACTTTAGGTAGAGTGCAGTATTAATTTTGGACTGGCTGCGATTCACAGCCTAGGTGTCAAAAATCACAGGGAAAATTCTAGATTGTGGAGAAGGGCAAGAGAATCCTTTTGTTACCAGTCATTATTCCCCCAAATTTCTTGGGTTTGTGATTAAAATTTGCCACTATATCTGGTCCCTGAGGGAGAGGAGAAAAGAGGACTCAACTACACACCCTTTTTTCCCTTGTCTAAATTCAGAGAATCAATGATGCAATTTCATTTCAGGCACGCTCCTACAACAAGCAGATGCGACCTGCAATTTTAGATCACTGTTCTGGAAATAAATGGACAAACACATCTCATCACCCTGAGTTTTTGGTTGGCGAAGAGGTAGGAAACTTCTTTACTGTGAAATGGAAGAAGAAAACCTCGTCTTAATGCTGAAATTCATTTACTTTCCCATCCAGTTCTAGTTCCCTGGCATTCCGTGATCCTACTTTGAGGATCAGATAGTCACATTGGCTCTTGAAGTAATAGATATTCCACCCTCAACACTTAGAACATTCAGCAAGTGTTAATGATGATTTCTAGCCTTGGAATTTTGAACGTGAATCCAGAAAACCCTGAGAGAAGAGTTTTAATGTGTTCATCTTCCTGTCTTCTAGGCCTTGTATGTTAATCCACTGGACTGTTACAATATCCACTGGCCTATTAGAAGAGGTCAGTTAAATATTCACCCGGGACCTGGGGGCTCCCTTACAGCTGTTCTGGCAGATATTGAAGTAATATGGTCTCATGCAATACAAAAATACTTGGAAATTCCATTGAAAGATTTAAAGGTGAGCTCAGATTCCCAATTACTTGGATTGTCTTTAAGATTCTTGGTTGCCCAACCGACGTGGCTTAGTGGTTAAGTATCGACCTATGAACCAGAAAGTCACTGTTTGATTCCCATTAGGGCATATGCCTGGGTTGCATGGGCTTCATCCCCAGTAGGGGCAATCAGTGATTCTCTCTCATCATTGAAGTTTCTGTCTCTCTTTTCCTCTCCCTTCCTCTCTGAAATCAATAAAAATAAGATTTTTTAATAAGTTCGGCCCATAGGGCTCAGCAGTTGGGTGTTGACCGAGGAACCAAGAGGTTACTGGTTTGATTTCCAGTTAGGGCACACGCCTGGGTTGCAGGCTCAATCCCCAGTAGGAGTGCATTCAGGAGGCAGCCCATCGATGATGTTCCTCTCTCATCAATGTTATTATCTCTCTATCCCTCTCCCTTCTTCCTCTCTAAAAAAATGTTTAAAAAAAAAAGATTCTTGGTCAATTAAAGTATCCATTACTGAGTTATTTGTAATATAGTGTCCTAAAAGCTTTCTTGGCCTTCAGGTGAAGATCTTTTCTACACTGAATCTAATCTCCCTTAAAGCTTTCTCTTTTTCGTGTTCTGTTTGTTTCTTTGATATCTGTCTCTCCTGCTCTGCAAGCAGCAAGCTTGCTCATGTTTATGCCTTCTCTCTGGACCTTTTTCAGACACATGAGATACCTTATTTTTCATTTCACAATCCTTTATAATAAAAGCCCAATATGCTAAGTGTCTGGTCATCCATTCAACCAATCAAAGCGCAATATGCTAATGATATGCTAAGGCCACTCAACTGCTCGCTAAGACGTGCACTGACCACCAGGGGGCAGGTACTCCGACCGGTAGGTTAGATTCCAGCTGGGGTCCTCCCGATCAGGACTGAGCGAGACGGGCCAGACACGCTCTTGAGCCTCCTGCGGTCTGCTGGGGCCTTCAAACCCTGAATGGCCCAGCTCTGATTGCCAGCCAGGCCTAGGGATCCCACACGTGCACGAATTTCGTGCACTGGGCCTCTACTAGTTAAATAATTTAAAGAAAAAGAGAAAAATCAACATTATCTATTTTTTCATAAAACCCAAAAGATAGTTTTGAGCTTTTATTCTGGGCCTCTAACCATTACTGCTACTGCTTTAGAGAGAATCCTCTCTGAAGACAAGTGTGGTGAAATGTATTTGACCAGACTGTAATGTTAACCATTTAATATTTTTTTCTTTGTTCTTCTTAGTATTATAGGTGTATCTTGTTAATTCCTGATATTTATAATAAGCAGCATGTGAAAGAATTGGTGAATATGATCCTAATGAAGATGGGTTTCTCAGGTATGTCTGATACGCCAGTGAAGCCTACTTGAAAAGAGAATCTTTTTCAGTGACAAAGTTAATCCAGTTTCCTGCTTTATTGAATACATATTTGAGAGATTCGGCAATGCTTGAATATTTGCCCAGAAGTTCCTAGACTTTAGTTGATGATTTATTTTAGGAGCGTTGCTGCTCCCCAGCTCATTGCTCCTCTGCCTTTTGTTTTAGGGATTGTGGTCCATCAGGAGTCTGTGTGTGCCACTTTTGGAAGTGGTTTAAGCAGCACGTGTATTGTAGATGTTGGGGACCAGAAGACAAGTGTATGCTGTGTGGAGGATGGGGTTTCTCATCGGAATACTCGGTAAGGGATGTGGAAGGTGGCATTCCCCATCCTTCTCCCCTCACAGTCTGTTCAGCTATAAAGCACCACAAATCAGAAAGAAATTATTTTTTTAAATTTTTTTATATATTTTATTGATTTTTTACAGAGAGGAAGGGAGAGGGATAGAGAGTTAGAAACATCAATGAGAGAGAAACATCGATCAGCTGCCTCCTGCACACTCCCCACTGGGGATGTGCCCACAACCAAGGTACATGCCCTTGACCGGAATCGAACCCGGGACCCTTGAGTTCCCAGGCCGACGCTCCATCCACCGAGCCAAACCGGTTAGGGCAGAAATTATTTTTAAGGAATTATATATTCGGATTTTGCATAGGAAACCAGCATATTGAGGAAGTGCTAATTCTAGCAAGACTATACACAACTGATTTTACCCTTTTCTTTGGGACTCTCTAGTGTAAGTTCACACCAGCAGCTCCTGAAAGTTCTAGCATGTGCTGTGCTGTCCCACAGAGTAAGCGTATAGGTTACCTCTGTCTTTTGCTGTGGTCTGGCCTAGAGACACCAATTTAGGCAAGTCGTGTAAGAGAAAAAAAATAGGTTTTCAGGTTTGAGTTCTCTAGCTAGCTAGCATTTTGAGTATCTGCTTTTCTTGCCATAAATGGTGTTCAGTGAGTAACTTTATGGTGGTTAGTTCCCTTCATGTGTCATCACTGATATGAGAGTCAATAAAATAACCAGCAGGTTTGCTGCTTGTCCTTCCTGAGACAAGCCCCGCACAGGTGAGCAAGCACACTCTGGTAGTGCTCATGTGGGCTCCTTGCAGCATTGTGTGCTCCCAGGATGGCTTCTCCAGGAAGCATGAATTCTTGTCCCTTACATTAGGTAGTTTGAATCTCAAAGTATAGAAACAAATACAGAAGAGGTCCCAAGACGCTCATGAGAAAGGTTAATCTGTTGCCTCCCACCTCAAGTTACAAAGCATTCTAAAGCCCAGTATGACTTAGTTTGGTTCATCCATTGTTTGTATTGTCTAATGCCAGTGGTTTTCAAGATATTAAGAAAACACTGGATTTCAGGTCTCTAACCACTGAAATAACGTAGCAGTGGTCTTTCCAAATTGTAGACATGTTCAGTTAGTGGATATTACCCTCGCAGATTTCTCCCATAACTGTCTTACGGTGTTTGTCACCTTTATTTGCTGGGGAATATACATAGGCGAACAACTGTCAAATGGTGAATGTTGGAAATGAGCTGGACCTAATGGTGTGTTTTCTATTTCTTAGATAGTTTTTGCAAATAGCATGACTGCTTCCAGGTGCTGTACCACTAGTTTATTCCAGAGTTCCCCTTTTCCCTCCCATCCATTTATCTGTTCCTTCCTTTTTTTAAAATATATTTTTATTTATTTCAGAGAAGAAGGGAGAGGGAGAGAGAGAAACATCAATGATGAAAAAGAATCATTAATCGGCTGCCTCCTGCATCCGCTGAGCCAAACCAGCTAGGGTTGTTCTTTCATTCTTTAATTTATTCCTACAACAGACATTTCTTGAAACGTGCTCTTTTACTGTGCCTAATGGAGTTTTTGAATCCTTTGCACCTTCTGAACTGAGAGATTACACATCTGCCCTTTCTCTTAACTCTAGACTCTGTCTGGCATATGGAGGGTCTGACGTATCAAGATGTTTTTACTGGCTGATGCAGCGAGCTGGATTCCCTTATAGAGAATGCCAGTTAACAAATAAAATGGATTGCCTTCTTCTGCAGCACCTAAAGGAAACTTTCTGTCATTTAGATCAGGTGGGAACAAAATCAAAATTGATTCTTTTTGCTTTCAGGAAAAACGTAACAATATCATGCCACCCTTTCAACTTAAGCTGATAAAGCCTTGAAGCTGAAGCCTGTAGGAGTGAATTTTTTGGTGGGGTCAGAGCTGTATAGCTTGTCTCAGGCCCTGGAGACTGCAGATACCTCTCTATAGGATCTGTGGTCATTCTGATGAAGGATGATTCTTTAGGTGTGAAGAATAGTAGCAGGTAATACATAGGTACAGACACTTAGTAAAATGGTACCTTTTGAAGCACTTTCTTGGTATTGTGAACAGTCAACATTTTATCATTGCTGTATATGGCACGCTACCTTTTTATACTCTTAGAGTTTTTTTCCCTCTTTTCAAGTAATATAATTCTGATAAAAAATTTTGAGAAATATAAATCTAGGTAACATTCCTCAGTTATTGAGAGCGTTTTTTGATTGATTTGGATCATTATATTAGTGTTTTATCGATAATGAAGAAAACAAAACATTTAACTTTTGTGTCAATTTCACAGATGTTAAAAGGAAAGCAAGTCACCATTGAACTCTTATGAAGTTCCAGTGGGTGTGGTAGAAAGTTGTAGGGCAGCCCTTTTACAGGTGAGGTTAACATGATAGGGAGGCTTCATTGTAGTTAGAGGAGTTTACATGCACTTTTACTGATTCACTGACAGCATCTTTTCCTGGAATCAGGACATCTCTGGGCTTCAGGACCATGAGTTTCAGATTCGACATCCAGATTCGCCTGCCCTGCTTTACCAGTTTCGCTTAGGAGATGAAAAGCTCCAGGTAACATGTGGGTATATATTTTCATGGCTAGAAAGAAAGCCAGCCAGGCTCGGTCCCTTGCTGGAAACCTCATGAGAGCAGAATGTGAACTCGTGTAGATTACTCACTAAATCAAATTAGAACAGATCTGAGAACCATCTTTTTAATTAGTCACTATGTGATTAAGTTATTTGGAGAGAAATTCCATTCTTCTAGGTAACATTTGCTTTGAGATCCTGTGGTGTCATGTCACCCATTCAATTTGCATGATAAGTGAGTGTTCTGCCTGCCTGCACTGAAGAAATAATGCTTTTCCCAAAAGAGGACACTGCACAGTCTAACTTCTAGGATCTAATCTGCCAGTTTTATTTTTTTGGAAGAACAAAATTTAGTGGGTCAGTTTTTTCAGGAGGCAGTATCTCAGTTGATTATTCTTTTCCTTCCACACACAGGCTCCAATGGCTTTGTTTTATCCAGCAACCTTTGGAATCGTTGGACAAAAAATGACGACTCTGCAGCACAGGTCGCAGGGTGACCCTGAGGACCCGCATGATGAGCACTACCTGCTGGCCACACAGAGCAAGCAAGAGCAGGTCCGCAGGTTCTGGTGTGAGGAGAGGTTTTGTCCTGCAGGAGAAGTTGGCCCGTGATTGATGGATCAGTGCAGTCACTGCCATCTGACAGAGTGCTAAAGCTGATCCTGTTTTAGAACTGTAGATGAAATGAAGTCTAAATTTAAAATCTGGGTGGCAGATCTTTTTTGGTTCAGCAAGCATTCATCCATTTTTCAGAATACCAATCCACACATTTAAAAGTAAATTTAATGAAGTGACTTTTGAATATTTATCCGTAGTAAATATTTTCAGTAAAATCTCACCTCTATTTAATTATAAGGTATGAGGGTTGTGTGGCATAAGCAAAGAATTGCATTCCTTTGTCCAGAGCTGATGCTAGTAATAGGATGGCTGGTGCCAGGGCACAAATTAGAGCTGTTATCTGCTAATGAAACGGCAGCTCATGGTGAAGAGAAGAGGACCGTATTTTCTAGTCCTCATTCCTGCCCCAAAGGTGGGCACGAGGTGGTTAGAAAAGGTCTGAAAATGAGGATTTCATAACAGTCACTGGCCCAAGAATTCCACGGAAATACTCCACTTAAAAACTCAGTTCAAGGAGAAAAGTTAGTCTGCACTGACATCTCAGTTTTAAAATCCAGCCTGTAATAGTAAGGTGCTGAGATCGCCCTCCCTGCCAGAGACTGCTTTAGAATTGTCGTAGTGCATCTTCTTCTGTCATCTCACTCAGGTGGGTGGTTGTGTACTCTGGTGTATCTCCTCTCAGCAGCAGGCCCTCGTGTATAGTAGTGCATAGTGAGGGAACAGCAGCGGGAGGGGGTCTAGTTGGAAAACATGGACAGTGTTCTTAGTCATACCATCTACTTGATTGTCCTTTTCATTTAAAGTCTGCAAAAGCTACTGCTGACCGCAAGTCTGCATCCAAGCCTATTGGATTTGAAGGGGATCTTCGTGGGCAGTCCTCGGATCTTCCGGAAAGACTCCATTCCCAGGAGGTGGATTTGGGGTCCTCCCAGGGAGACTGTCTGATGGCTGGCAATGACTCTGAGGAGGCCCTCACTGCGCTGATGTCCAGGAAGACTGCCATCTCGCTGTTTGAAGGGAAAGCCCTAGGCCTGGATAAAGCCATCCTTCATAGCATAGACTGCTGTTGTAAGCACATTCGGGAGGCCGGGAGGTAGCCATTACCTGAACTGGCTGAAGCTAGGGGTGGTTGTGCAGTGTAGCATAGCGTTACTCATTCAAAACAACCGAGCACCTACCTTGTGCTTGCATTATTGGGTATTGGGAATTGGTCCCTGGCCTTGTTGGAGGAGACCAAAATAAGGCAAGTTATCACACAAATGTGAAATTACAACTGTGGCAGGTGCAACAGAATTGAACTAAATAGTACTGACTGAGAGCTTCTGAATGAGGGATTTAATAAGGGTGTTTTACTCCATAGGGGAGGTGTGGAGTGGGAGAGTCAGGGAAAAAAACACTTGAGAGAGATCTGGGCGGTGAGTGGAGGTTAGCCAGAGGAAGATCTTAGCCTGTGTGAGGGCCAGTGTGGCTGGGACACGGTGTGAGGAGGAGGCTAGAGAAGAGAGTGCACACTACATGGGACTTTTTAGGCCGCCTCAGAGATTTGGATCGTTCGGCGAGTACCAGGGTGTGGGCAGCAACATGCTCATTTTGTGTTTTGTAAGGTTCCTCTGGCTGCATTGTTGGGTTGGAGAGAGATCTCTGAGCAGGCTCTCACATTATCTAATAAGCAAGAGGTGGTGGTGGAGATCCCTGGGGTGGGGTGGGTATGGAGAAAAAGCGTGGACGGGCTATCACTGTCTTTGCAGCATCTGATGACACCAAAAAGAAGATGTACAGCTCCATCCTGGTGGTGGGAGGTGGTCTGATGTTTCATAAAGCACAAGAATTTCTGCAGCACAGAATTCTCAACAAAATGCCACCTTCATTCAGGCGAATTATTGAAAATGTGGAAGTTATCACAAGGCCCAAGGTATGTTGCTCATAGTACAAGTTGGACTGTGTAAATGAAAAAAGCATTGATTATTTCTAATTCTATTGTATGCGGACAGATAAAATCCTGGAAGTTATGGTCATATGTCTGGGAGTTCTTGAGGGTTTGGGGCAAGTGGAAATGTTACTTACAGCAGGTCACAGATGTGGAGAAAGGAGCTCTGGGCAAGGGGACTGGATTCTGGGTTTTAGTCCCTGCTGTACTATCCAAAGCTAGCAAGACTGGGTGCCTTTGTAGGACAGTGGGACCTGGAGGAGACTGGCCCGTGTCATGCCATCAGCCGGAACAACTCCCTTGTTATCTTTCATGCTGAGAATGTGCTACTGGTCCCTAGACCAGGTGATCTTTAAGAATCATTTAGGCTTGAACTATCTTGAAGTATAAACCTAGGAATTTAGAAATAAATTGTGCCTATACTTCGTCATATCTCATTGACAATTCCTGGGAATGTTCTCACTTAATTTTAATCCTGAGGGAGAGATTATGGGATATATTTATTCTACTTCAATTTCAAAGTAAGTTATTTCTTTACATATGTTCTGTTTTCAGAGCTATTTGTGGAATAATAGTGAATAATAGTAGCTTTAGTAATACAAACTAAAAAGTTTTCTTGTCAGTTGAAACAGAAAGAGGCCTGTAGTTCATGAGTCCTTAATGCAGGTTTAAAATCTGGCTTATTAGGTATTGACTCCAGGGGGGCTCCCCAGGGGTCCCCCCGCCCCCAATTCAAATAAATGATTGAGTGGACATCTTGTCTGCTTGTGCTGACCTATCTGTACCGCTGCTCTAGGACATGGATCCTCGGCTGATTTCATGGAAAGGGGGCGCAGTGCTGGCTTGTTTGGATACAACACAGGAACTGTGGATCTACCAGCGAGAATGGCAGCGCTTTGGTGTCCGCATGTTACGAGAGCGAGCTGCCTTCGTATGGTGAAATGGGCAGGAAAAGTCACTCTTGGAGACCCCAAACAAGCCTCTTGGTATAAAAGACTCTTAGAGGATATATATATGTATATATATTTTTTTAATTTATTACTCTAAGTGCTTCAATTTTGTGGAAAATAAATGAATTTTAACGTGTGTTGAGAACATGACCTTGGTGTGAAATTATAAGCCGCTTCTGCAGTCAAGATGTTTGAGAATAAATGCGCTAAGGTCTCCTGCCCCATTCAGGGTCTCAGGAACTCCACGGTGATGTGAGTGCTTGAGCAGTTGTCCAGTGGTGAAGCTCTTCCTTGAAGTTGACTTCTAAGTGACATGAGACAGTCTCCTGCGTCCCTGAGGAGTGGGTGTGTGACTTCGGCGCCTGGATTGTGAAAACGGTGTGGTCATGGCATTTTCCCTCTTGGCTAGAACAGCGAGCACATGATGTGACTCTCAGAATTTCAAATAGGAACAAGTTTTATTTTTTTAATTTTCTGTTAGATTACAAAAATGATGAGGGCAGATTCAGGTCTAGATTTTTCAAGGCAAAGGTTTAAGGCTGGGCTGGCTGGCTTTTGTTACCCAACATACTCTAGGGCAAGGAAAAGAAAACAGTCGTCGTCTGACCAAAACAGAACAAGAGCAGAAAAGGGAATTTTCTTTCTTTGATATGGCCAATATGAATGACTTGGGTATAATTTAGAGTTGTTAGCATGTGTTGTACAGATAAGCAGACTAACTGCTACAGTTACTGCTAACAATTCTCTTTACCTGAAGAACCAGTGAAAACATTTGGAGTTCTTTGTGTTCAGTGTGATCAGTTGACCTTAACCTGTGAGCAGTCTGAAGCAGACAGTTGTCACCACCAGTGGTCCAGACCTTAGGGAAGACTGAGTGGAAGAGAAGGCATTGTCTGCTGGAAGGGGAGCCAGTCAGTGAGCAAAGCCTGGGGGCTCTGAGACCTGGGCGGGTTGGGCAGTGCCTGATTCCTGCCAGTCTCTTGCACTTGCTTCCACTATCTTACCATCAAGAACTGGAGGTGGGACTTGGGCAAAGACACATTAGGGACAGTTAAGGGGTGAATAAGAGTGGAATCCTATATAATAAAAGGGTAATATGCAAATTGACCCTAATGGTGGAACGACCAGATGATCGCTCGACCAGTCACTATGAGATGCACTGACCACCTCTTGGTCCCTTTCCCTGGCCAGCAGGCTCCAATCGCCCAATGGTGAACAGGGAACTGGGGGTGGGTGGCAGGGGACACCGCTGGTGCCAGGCCAAGGCCCCCACCCCACATACAGAGAGCAACCCACAGCAGGAGCAGGGCTGGCGGGAGCAGGCTGACCTCTCAGACGGGGAACCAGGTGTGGGTGGCAGCAGGGGGCAGGGCCGGCTGCAGGCAGCCAGGGAAGATGGGCCTGATGCAGGCCAGGCCTAGAGATGGTACCTCCGCACGAATTTCATGCTCCTGGCCTCTAGCATAGAATGAGGATGGTAATAAGTCTTAAGACATGGAGCAGTGCTGGTAACAGAGCATTTTGCATTAGTAAGAGTATCCTATGTATCTGCCCAGTAGGTTAGGAACAAAGGGTGTAACAAAATGTAACTTGTTAGTACTATTTGGAATGTATGCCTTAATTTTGAAAATTGTATGTTCTTTGACTTAAAATTTTTTAAACAATAATTACATAAGATTTTATGTTTCTGAGCTGTTTCAACACAATTTAGTATTGGCTACCTAGTTCCAAAAATATAATTTTTTGTTTGTTTTTAATGTGTTTATTAATTTCAGAGAGGAAGGAAGGAGAGAGAGACCAGTGTGAGAGAGACATCTATCAGTTACCTCCTGAATGCACCCCATTCAGGAATTGAGCCTGCAACCTGGGCATGTTCCCCAGCTGGGAATGGAATCAGGGACCTTTTGGTGCATGGGACGACGCTCAACCGAGTCACAGGGCTGTTTCTGTTTGCAATAGTTTTTCTTGTAATAGTATATTGCTCTTACAACTGGTAGATGTTGATTCAGAGGAAGTTGGCTTCTGGTCCGAGTTTTGACATAGCCATGTTCCGTCTTCTATCACCAGCACATGAAGACTAATCTTGACAAATAAGGGGCTGTTACCACATTAAACATATTGCCTGAGTCATTACTAAGTGTCTGCTGGTGAAGTTGGACACGGGGAGATTTCACTCTGTGCTTATGCACTTTGGTTTTTATTTTATTCTTAGGACATATATTAGAATACTCAACAAATACATTTTAGCAGTCATCTACCTGAAACTGGTCCACATTCTGGAGCAGATTTAGTATTGTGCTGTGTGAAAGGACAGGCATTCCCAGAAAAATACATATGCTAACATACATAACCTTTTGGTGACCTGGAGTAAAAAAGATGCTTTTAGGAAAATTAAAAAGTTAGAAGGCTCAAAATACCACATAACTCTTGTATTCTGTAACTCCATGGTAGTTTGTTTTTACCTAAGTAAGCCATTATAATAACTCATAAGATTAATTACTTCAAGAGGGCTGTCTTCCAACATAATAGAAATATTTTTCTAAACACAAAAATTTACATAATCAAGAAACTGAACTCTAACGGTGACCTCTAATAGGTAACTGGACAGAAGTAGACAACAGTTCTGCAAGTATATTTTGATGTTCGTGTGAAAGTCACCTGTACAAGAGGCAAATAGGACAGGAACCTAGTTCAGAGAGGGAGGGTCCTATGAAAATGCCAAATGCCTAGTACAAATATACTAGGTCGTCTGGTCAGCAAAGATGGTTCAGCCTGTTGTTCCTATTTTTGTTAAAAATAAAGATGTGTGTGAGAGCGAGTTTTTAGCTAAGAAATGATTGAGTGAATTAGCTAGGGCTTACTAAATTTGGCATTCATTAATTAATCTTGGCATGTTACAAAGCTAAACACGTCTGCCTACAATGCAGGGCAGGGACTATTCAAGACTGGACGTTCAGCTGGAAGAGGCTTTTTCGTTGCATTGTCAGATGGTACGGTTTCATTTTATAACTATTATTTTTAGTTATAACTAAATTGATTTAGCTTTATAATTATAAATGTAGTTTCCATTCTTCAGTTAGTACTACAGTAGTTAGTAATATTTGTAACTAGTGGCATAAAATTTTTAATTACCAGACTAAGGCGTATACGTTCCGTTATGAGTCCTCCCTATTACTAAAGCAGTTATATACATACAATCCGCTCTACAAGTAGCCTATACAGTAAACTCCAGAACCAACACAGAAGCTTTTCTAACCGGAGGGGGCATAAGGCTTCACGTTCTCGCTTCTCGTGGGAGCAGCGAGGCTACACGGAGGAGCAGCTGTGGCAGGCTCGCAGTCTTTTCCCCACCCACACGTGCTGCTCTGCATGGAGCAGTTCTGTGCAGAAAGCGCCAGAATCCTTCATGAGACGGTACTTGGGGCAGACGTTGAGGGCATTGTAATCGTCTTTGATATCAGCCTCTCTAAAGTAGACCACCATGTATTTGTGCAGATGAGTCTGGCTCCTCAGGTCGCTGCAGAAGAGGTTAAAGGCCAGGGGGAACAGGTCTTGGGAGTTCTCACCGGGGCTGCCATTGCTCTTGCCACAGGTACCATCACACACGGTGTTGACATCGTTAGACAGAAGGAAAATGACTTTTTCCGCGGCTTTCTTCTGAGCGGTGAGCCACTGCACCGGACCCATCTCGGCTATTTTCTTTCTCTGCCACTTGTCAAGGATAACCTCACTTCTGCAGTGGTTCTGAAGAAATTCAGTGAAGTAACAAACTGTGTGATGGAAACATATTTCGGGTGGGTAAACCACAAGAACCTTAATGGGGGGCAGTAGCGTGGTGGTGGGGAAGGAAGTCTTGATCCTTTCTGTGGAGAGAGAAAAACATTTGTTATCTATAAATAGCAAATGGCAGGCTTTTGCCGTAAAGATGTTGTAAAAGCTGTATTTTGTAAGTCCTTATTACTAAATCAGTCTCTTAGTCAAGCCATACCTTTTCAGGTAAATTCATAGGTTTGAGGTACTCTGTTTTAGGTGGGTTGTTGTAACTTGAGTATTGTTAGTACCATATACTGTATAAACAGGAACATCCTGGCCTCTCCCCTTCACGTTTTTTGGGTCAATTCAGTAGTAATTCCATTTTCTACCAGCAGGTGGTAGAGTTTCTTTATAGTTCCATAGGGTTAAGTGGCACCCCTTTTCAGCTGGAATGTAACTGGAAAGCTGTCCTATGTGTGCTATAGAACAGAAACCATCTTTGAAAGTACTATAGCTAATTCAGGCCACACAACATCTTCTAAGTACAAGTATTCCCGAGGTCCTAGTTCCACAGATTTCTTAGCTTAGATCATGAGATGAAGCTTGTTTTATCTATGTTATCTGTGATAAGACGCAGACTGCCTTTATTTTCTCTTCTTTCAGTGTACCACCCTCTAGCTGGGTGTCTTTTTACTTGCGTTTCTATAGTCAGTCCTCAATATTTTAATGTTGGCAAGGCCCTTACAATATATGAATCCAAGTTACCACTGTTCTTATGCCTTATAAGAATTATTTTTAAAAACTAGAGGCCCAGTGCACAAAATTTTGTACACGGGGCGGGTGGGAGGTCCCTCAGCCCAGCCTGTGCCCTCTTGCAGTCTGGGACCCCACGGGGGATGTCCACCTGCTGGCTTAGGCCCGATCCCCTGGCAGTCAGACATCCCTCTGGCAGCCCAGGAGCCCTTGGGGGATGTCCACTTGCCAGCAGGGAGCAGGCCTAAGCAGTTGGAC